AGTTTTAACCTAATTATAGAATTAAAACATTCAATACTGGCATCATGCTTTGGATGTGGTCTATTGTCTGACTGTGAGACCACCATACATACCACACATACATAATTTGTTTTTGTATTTATTTTCACCAATTCTGAGAGTTACTAAACATTGTAAAAGTAAATAGCCAATAAGTTCCATGAGTAAATATAATGCGGGATGTATTAAAGCAAAATAACACAGCTTGAGAAACTGTGTAATATTACTGAGGTTTCGGCTTGAACCTGCTTCTTGAAGCAATTTGAATTGTTTACAGATTTGGACATTAATTCAATTAATTCAATTTGCAAATCTGCCTTGTTTTGGCAGGAAACATCCAAATACACCACAAACTGAAAAAAACAACACACGTTTTAAATGTAAAATTCTCCAAAAATAAAAGTTGGATTGCTCTGTTGTTAAAATCTTACCAAGGAGCATGCCCCCAAAAAAGTAGAATGCGGCATCACAATATGTGTCGAGCAGAGAACCAAATATGAAATTGCCTACCATGGATCCTAGACGACCACACATGAGAGAGAGTATCACAGCCATCCCTCTGGTTTTACAGAAGCAACAGACAAGCACCATTAGCAACTCAGAAAAAGTCACAGCAAGTGGGAATGCATTTTCAGAAACCTACCTCACGTTGGTCGGGAAAAGGTCTAAAACTATACCGGAGATGTGACCAATGCACATACCCGTCAGACCTATCACGAGGCAGGCTAGTGTCAAAATGGCCGTGGACGAATCAACAAAATTAATTGCGACGGCTGACACTCCCGTCGCCCACATGCAAGAAACTGAAAGGCAAGTTTGGTTTGGTCCCAGTTCGTATCGAATCAGTTGGTATCCGTCAAAGATGCGCAGCACTCATACTCACCGAGCAGGTTCCGCTTTCCAACCTTGTTGACGACCAGACTGCCGAATATAGGCGCGATGACGTTGGCCGCCCCGATGAACAGGGCGTTGACGTACACCTGCGGGAGGATCGTGCCGCCGTTGCACACGGGCGCCTCGGCGGCGGGCGCTGAGGAAGTCAACACTTCCGGGTCCAGCACGAACTCGCTGGTGGTGTTCCTGGCGGCCTGCAGCACGCCGGACACGGCCTCGCACATGGTGGCGGCGCCGGGGTGGATCTCGGCGTAGCGAGCCTGGTAGTTGAACAGCTCCGGCAGCCACAGCAGCAGCCCGCTGGCGCTGCAAGGGGACATATCGGTAGGTGCCGTTCAGCAGTTTGATAGAGTGGGAAAGGAGCGTGGGGCGTCTCTCTGTGTGGGTGTCGGGTGTGCTCACCTGGCGACGTTGCCGAACTGGATGAAGCACACGAGGAAGGTGTGCGGCAGGAAGGCGGGGCGGAAGAGCGGCGCCGTCTGCGCCGCGACGATCTTCATGAGGGTCAGGAAGGACCTGTCCGTCGTGGTGGCCATGATGGAGCTCGTGTCCTCCGTCAGCTCGCGTACCTGAAACAGTATGTGTCCTGAGAGCGCGTGGAGCGAGGCAATGGAGAGTATGGGGTCGTGGGGCCGCGGCGTCCTACCGGGAAGTCGTCCCTGCCGGTGTTGAGGGTGTACACGCGCGACAGCACCTCGAGCGCCTCGTCGCGCCGCCCCACCGCCAGCAGGAACTTGGGCGACTCGGGGAACCACAGGAGGCAGAGGCCCGACAGCAGGGCGGGGCAGGCCCCCACCAGGATGAAGAGCCGCCAGGGCTTGAAGGCGAGGACGTCGCCGTACAGCGGCAGCGACCACTCCATCGGGAGCACGGACCACGCGAGCCCTGCGGCAGAGAAGGGCATTTACAACTCCTGCAGATAGGTGCAGGGTCACCAAGGAGTGTGTGTTCGGGCGCACGCCCGTGGCCCAGGGGGAGGGCTCGACGACTTCCTCGACGACGACCCACCTGGCAGGATGAGGGCGGCGCACGCCCCGAGGATGCCCGCGAGGATGATGGCGCGGTTCCTGTCCGAGGCCGAGTTGAACTCCCCGAGGTAGGCGTATCCCAGGGCTGCGGGGGCGCTCACGCTGCCGGAGGCCCGAGAGAAGTCGACGGGTATGAGAGCGTTAAAAGGTCAGTGTGGTTCAAGTGTTCCTCACGCACGCAGGCATTGAGCTCGGTTGCCCGCTCGCACCACGGGGCCGTGTAGGACGCCGTGGTCAGTAGCGATAGGCAACCCGCCCGCACGCCCGCGATGCGGTACAGTAGTCAACGTGCGCTGCCGCCTCCAGCCGGGGCCCCAACGTGACATTTTATCCTTTCACCCAGAAAGTATAAGTCCGTCTTTCGCTGTTGCGCCGTTGCGAAGTTCAGCCTCTGCAAGCTCCCACGGCGCCTGGTGGGTAGGCAACATCATGTCTTCCGCGCATGCGTGTGCGGCGGGGTGGCCTACCCCGAGGTTCGCAGGCGCCGAGCTCCCAGCAATAATGAATCTGAGAAAAAACGGACGTAATACTTTCTGGACGATCCCTTACCAGACGCCGTTGAGGAACCTGAACACGACCAGGGTGGCGAAGTTGGGCGCGAGGCTGGCGCACACGGACACGGCCGCGTTCACCAGCAGCGCCCGGATCATGATGCGGCGCCGGCCCGTCGTGTCGGCCAGCACCCCCCACATGTGCGCGCTGCAGACGATGCCGATGTAGGTGATGGCGCCCAGCAGGCCCTTGTCGGCCTGCGACAGCCCCAGGTCGCACTCGGCCGCCGACAGCACGTAGCTCATGTCGACCATCTCCGTGTTGGTGGCCAGGATGGACACGCCGACGACGACCATGAGGAGGTAGTGGAACAAGCCATAGCCTGTATGCGTGACATTTATTCCGAAGATAATGCGCGTCACGGGTGAAATAATTTGTTCTTGTCCGACCTTGACCGACCACTCTGACCGTAGCTGAAGTACTCACCCGTAAGTTTGACAGCATCCTCAAACGATGTGCTCGTACCAGACTCGACGACAGCGACAGCCCCCGGGCCATCGGAGGAAGGCAGACGTTTCTCTGTGCAACAAATTTCCCTAAATTGAAAAGTACACTTAAAAGAGTCGTTCCTTCAATCAAAGTCCATAGTTTCGGTGCTCTTGATTTCTCCAAGTAAATTGCTGGTGTTTTGAAAATACTCTTCTCGTAAAGAAGAACCGATATTTTTTGTCAGTGTGCATGCACCCTAAGCACCCGGTACAGTCACCGCTTCAAGTGCAGACACGTCGTCAGCATGTGGGCGCCTGTTGGGTAGGCGACCCATTCGACTCCGTCTGCGAGCGACAGATAAACGGTGCGCGTGCTTACGGTGGGGTGCGATGGCCCACTTAGTGGGAACACCAGGGTGAACAGACGGTCAGAAAGAGTGGAATGACCCATAATGCCCCCATAGACGGACAAATTACTGGATTTTGACGCAGCCGCGCGATTGACTATATTAGTTGTGGAAAGACCAAAGGGGAAGAAAAGAAAAGAACAAGTCAGGGGGGAGCTCTCTATAGCTTTAGCATCGACCTAATAAAAATAAGTCCAAATTTCACAAAACTTTCCGATTCAAATACAGCTGGTCTTTTGGCAAAAGTCGGGGTCGCCTGATCCGCTCCAGGTCCTGTACCTGAGGGTTTTGGTTTGTTTTTAGCCAGCTCCTCTGTCTTGAAAAGGCTAGATCAGCGGGCTTGGGTCATAGCCGAAAGTCACGGGGGGGGGGGTACCCCGCGTAATAGTATTACGGTAATACCCTGTACACCTAACCTGGTATTACACTTGACTAGAGCCCCGCAAAGAGCGAGCTACGCGAGCTAAATGCCTACCCCGACCCCCCTCTTACCTGTCGAAGAAGGGGTCTAGCTCGCGTAGCTCGCTCTTTGCGGGGCTCTACACTTGACTTGACTTGGCTAACCACGAGGCCTCTTCCCTGGTATTACGCATAATGTAATATCGGAAAAAAAATCACGTAATACAGTGCTGGCGTAGTACCGCGTAATACAGTGTAATACGGATACTCTGTACACGTTTTCTTCGAGTGAAACACCCCTCTCACCGATAGCACTACAAAACCACATCCCAGTAAAAAGTGTTTTAGCTTAATCCTTAATTCGTTTGAAAAAAAAAGTTCAACGGATGGCCTATTTGTGCGGATCGAGAAATGACAGAAATGCGCCCAATTTCACAGGGGGTTGTTCAACCCACTCCTCTCACCTCATGACTCTAAAACATATTCGCGGGCATCATAGTGTCTTCATACATAATTTGCATTCTTTTAAAATCACCACATTGCAAAATCTACAGTGATGGGGTTGTGTGCTATTTAAAGACTACATTTCATCTGCATCCCTGGATACGTATGCTATAATCGAGGCGCAATTTTAAGTCCGTCTGGTGGAGGGATTTACTGTGGGTTACCTATTTTCGGGGGTTTTGTAGGACAAATTGGATACCTACCCGAAAAAGAAATTTTCCCACCCCCCATAAACCTGAAATACTGCGGCTATGACTGGATTACTGCATTGCCCTAGTAGACTTGCGACTTGCGAGGTACGGTACTTACCTTTGTCACCGATGGTGACCGACGCGGTAAACGACCGGAACACTTCCTGGACCATGGTTCCTGCGGGTCGCTCTGGCTGCTGCTGCTGCTACGCCCCCTTTCTTCGCCGTCTCCCCCACAGTCACTCGCACTCGCACTCGCACACGCGTTCGCGCGCTCGCGCGTCGCGCGGGCGAGTTTTTGACCCGCTTCACTTTGTCACCGCGGCATGTTCTCGTCGCGCGGCCACCTGGTCCAGGTGGGCAAGGGCAGGGCCTCTGCGCGCGGCGGTGTTCCAAGCTGAAGTGACGCTCATCCGGGATGACCGACAGTCGGGCACGGGCAACGTGATTGTAGAAGTATTCTGGCGGCGGGGGCATACCGATGACCGGATTGGCACGGTGGCCGCACCGCCCGGAGCGGGACCTCTCTGATACGAGCCCATAGCACAGTCTACTAACACGGAAAGGTCAAGATGACGCCACACTGACGGGTTTCGGTCAGAATAAAGTGGTCAAAGTTTCTATTGTAATGTTGGCGATTATTGTTTAAGTCGGCAATGTTGATGTCTAATACTCCAAATAATGTCCAACGGCATTAGTAATTTTCCGACATAACTCGTGTATTAACGTTATATTTACTTCGGTGGGAGGGAAATTTGTTTTCTTTCCCCTTTATTACTCTTAGTACTCTCACGGTGCATG